GGGGTTTCATAACAGGACCATGCACAAAAGTTCAAGATGTCGCGTAACCCAAGAGCGAGTGACGAGAGCGCTCATGCCGTTGCACCTCACATTGGCCCCGCCTACCGTACTACGTAGCCGTAACAACAGAAGACTCGCCAAAGAACGTAGGTACAGGGGCAATGTTGTCAACCAGTAACTAGCTGAGATAGATTGTAGCAACCATATTGACTGGAAGACGTTCCATAGGTGGCCGCATCTCATCCCAGCTGATTTCTATTGACAACGATTGTGAGCGTGAGCAATGTCGCACTGCTCACGTCGCGCGTCTACTTTCGCACTGACCAATGTCAGAATTGCACTCCCGTATCCACACAAGCTGGAGCAGGGATTTGCTCTTCTTCACGATGTGCTCTTCAGAGTAGCAATGCGATTTATTTCTCTGCATATGCAACAGTTCTTTCTGGATTTCTTGTCACCTTGCTACTATACTTCAGCTCCATTACCTCTGGTCTCGTGCGTCTCGTGCTTTAAGTTCAGAATGGAATGATGAGCGCACCTCTGAGAGGAGGGTAATTATCGAGCTGGCTGCGCTCTGCGGGATCATAGTGGACTATGCCTTTAGCATAAGTCAATCTTCTCTCCTGATAACACTGCACTAACTGAATAGCGTACATGCTTAAATTGCTATACTGGCTCACCTGAATCTCAGCTCGTTTCATTATTGTGCATGAACTTCTCCTTCATAAGGCAGCCCTTCCTTGACTACGAAACTTATTGAACTATCTGACCATTTAGTGGCCTCCGTAATTAAATGCGTAATTGTAAGCATGGGTATTTTTCTTGGAAAATGGGAAAAACATTTATCCCTGATGACTGACGCAAACTATACAAAACTGTGCAACGCAGAGCGCTAACACGCCAAAAACATAAGGCTTCGACGACGGGTACACGGACGATAAGCTTCGACGACGGGTAGTAGGGATACACTTACACCCACCGATAGAAAAGCATGGGCGGCAGAATGCTACATTACCCTTTCTGTGATATTCTGCTCCTTGCCATCGCCGCGAGCTGGAATAGCTCCGCCGTGGCAAGTATTGTGTGCCGATACTCCGCTCAAAAGTGCACGGGAACAGGGCTGAAGAGTAGGTGCTGCCCGGAACTCCGCCAGCGCTGCCGCACTGCCAGCCACATGCTTAGCCATAGCTAAACGATGCTTTGCACAGACCGTGCGCTGCTTTCTTTTCGCTTGTTTGTCTTACTGTGGAATGCTTATGTCCTGCTCGCAACTGGTATTCGACGCTGAGTGCTGAACCTTGAAGCACACGCCAGCTGGTATTTGGACTCACCAAGACCTGCAGTGGTGGAGTCAAAACACTGGCGGGTGTCGCGACCCTCAGACCTCATTTCTGGACGTTCTCAAGTGCCAAACTCCCATTGGTACAGCTCAGGGTGCATCGTTGTTGGGGAGTTCCCAACAGGAAGGGGGTCGTATTTGGTCGCTGGGTAGGATCGAAGGTTTTCCTTGCTTTTTTCCAGTTTCACAAGTGCTATTTGCACCCCTCCCCCACCTCAACCCCTCCTTGCTCAACAGCTCGATGAGGAGAGAACAAGGGGAGGTCGTACTAAAATCCTAAAAAAGGAGGTCGTACGGACTCCACCAAATTCCCCAACTAATGATGTGCCCTGGTGCAGCTGCCAACTCGTTCTTCTCGTACGTAGCAAACTCCGCCCTCGAAGCACAAGAAGTACAGGCGACCATGAACCGCTACGTCACTTTTGTAAATGTAAATTTTCATCTAACCAAACAAATTATCATGCCTAAGAGTAGCGAAAGTGGTTCCAAACATGATGATGGAAATTCACGACTTGAACGTGTAGCTCTGGGACATCAGAGGCACTCTATGATGCCCAGAATAGCAAACTAGGTCTTAAAAATCAGCTGGGTGCTGTGGTGCGCGTGGATGCACTTGCACCCGCATCGGACGTACTGAACTGTACCTATAATTTTGAATAGTCTGAGGCTAGATTTCTGACACTATTCAGCTCGCAAAATAAGTTTTTGTGGCATCAGTCTACTTTGTCTTCTGTCCCTAACAATATTGACCTACTACTCAAAAAACCGTGTGAATGCAATGCCAATAAAGTGCATCGATAACGCTCGCAATGGTTGGAGGCGGTCTGATAAAGCAGGAACTGAAGCCACCGCGCGGTTCTCATACTGGTTCTTTCTCTTCTTGAATCGATCAGCTATTGGTGGCGAAGGTAAAAAAACCCAGAGGCGGGCTCATCGCCCCCCTCTGCCGATGCCCCGAATGATTACGACCTTATCAACTATAAATAGGTGTAAGGAGGACAAGCGTGTAGCCCTCACAGATCGTGGGCTGCTGGTCTTACTCGTCTATAACTTTTTTCTCAAAAGCCCGTGAAAATGGGTAGTCAGAACTTTTGGCATATTGAGGAACGATCTTATCAGCCGATAAGGTTGGTGTGGATCCAGCCACAAAAAGGGCGTGGGCATAAACAGAACTCATAGCTTCTCGTACGAGTCCCGTTGAATTCGAATTGATTTTCAATTCTGGATTATTGGCTTTATCCTCTTTTGCTTACATTGTTCTACTTCTATTTTCTTCAAATGAATTTGTTTCATCCAGAAATAGTAATTCGAAATATTTACATATGTGACTCATCCTCTTCCTCTCCTTCCTCCCTTATAGCAGCAGAGTGTAAGGACAGAGACATGGAGCCCACCTCATTTGTACGCTCCGTCTCTTTGACTTTTCAGACATAGGACTGCGTCAATAAGATACTGTAGCTGGCTGTCCCCGCCCAAACGACCAGCGAGGACTGTGCCCTTAACTAATTCTTTGCACAATTCTTTTAGAATTTACTTTTCATGTATTTAGGAATCATGTTCCACTAAGATTTTGTCGAGAGGCTCGTGTCATTCTTTCACATATATTTTTTGCTACTGTCATGATTTTTCAGCTTGGACTAAGATGTTCGGCTACCTGTTTATTTCGGACAAAAATCAAGTTCTTTTCTATGGCGGTGATAGCGGATTTGACTCGTATCTTCATGGTCGTCTCTGCGCTGAAGGCCTCTTCTCACCAGATGCACCATCCACATCAAGTGGTGTCTATAGTGACACATCCTCTACGGAATCTCTACGAGTTACCGATGAAGATTCAAATTCAATAGGATCAAAAACTTCCGAAAAACCAGCCCATGCAGAAATTTCTCATATATTTCTTCCACTAATAACTATATACCGGTCATTTAACAGTCGCTCTTCTGATCATATTTATTCAACAAAGTCTGATAATGTCACGATACTACTGAAACGACTGAAGTACGACTTTCTTTTGGTATCGATTGGAAAGAGGTATGGCATTTTGGTACTTGAAACTGGTCTTTCTACTGTCCATGAACTTACCATTAGAGGCAATGGTAGGTGGAGGGATGGCAGATACGGGCCTTCGGAATCTGCAGTCTTTTTCCAAATCGATCAATCGATGTCTCTCTCGAAATGCACCGGGAACCACTCCAAGACAAATTGGGACACAATCTGGACGACAGGGCGCAGACAAGTGTACATAACTTTGGTAGGGGCTCTTGCGCGTGGTTTCCCCTCCTGTATTCCTACCCAACTCTATGATAAATTTTTTTCACTTAAGACCGGTACAACTATTTACATCATGAGCTGCTAGCAGGGCGCATCATCCCTGCGAGTAATTCTCTACATCCCTGAGTAACTTTCTGAATACGGTCCCCAATATTCTTCGAGCGGGGTAACGCAGGGAGCGGGGGGGGGCGTTCGTAGTCTTGTATCAAATAATAGGAATAGTGAAATTGGCGCGCTGGCAACAAGGCGAAAAACCAGTAGAGGGTCAACAATTCAACAGTCAAAACATTTTCCGTCTGCCAAATGTGGCTGCCCCCTCTCTCTTCATAGCCAGCTATGCGCGACTACCTGGATTGTGGTTTCCACAGTGACAATGCTGACCTGACTAGGGGTTCCCCTCCATTTTCCTTCCTAGCACCCAGATAGAATTTGGTTATTCAGCAACGTCCGAACACTAAGAACCATAAATCAACAAGGCTGCCTTCATACTTTGCGGCAGCGCCCACCAGCGTGTACCAGCGTCCACCAGCAATCACTAGCGCCTCGAGGGCTAGGGAAGTACAGCTGTCGATCTAACATCTGTCAGGGTCCGGCAGCGTCCACCAGCGTTCACCAGCGACTGCGAATAGAGAGTATGGGGTAATAGGAGGAATTGATGCTGAATTGGGCGTCGTGAAATTGCGGCGTGTGCAACACCGTACAACTACAGAGTACATTCAATTACATGGTTCTGTTCTTTAGCAGTTGTGCGGTGCGGTTGCACACGCCGCAATTTCACGACGCCTAATCCAGCTGTTTGCTACCCTCCCACTTCCCACACTCTACTCCCGGTCGCTGGTGAACGCTGGTGGACGCTGGTAGACGCTGGCGGACGCTAGATCGTACCAATACTAGCCCTCGAGACGCTGGCAGACGCTGGTAGAGGCGACATCTATACTTCCCTCGTCGCTCATGCCCGGAACGCTAGCGGTCGATGGCGGACGGTGGTAGACGTTGGTGGACGCTGCCCCAAAGTACGAACGCAGCCTACCATCGCCTACATGTCTCACTCGGCTCAAAAAATTTCAGTGAACAACGACAGTATCAATTCATGGATTATATGGAATTGGGTTTGGATATTAACATTGGTCCCCTTCTTTCACTCATTGAATCAGATCTCGACACAACCCATCTGGCTACGGATTTTCTCAAATCTTTCAATGATAAACCGTGCTCATTCGAGGACAAAAGGATTAGAAGTAGGTTCTTTTCTATATTATCTACCTTACGTTTCATAAATAGCACCTGGAGGCACATTCCCCGATTGCGTGTCACAGGTGCAAGGAGGGCTCCAAAAATGATTTGAAAGGGCTAAATGGCTTATCAGTGGACAGAGAAAGAGAAGAAGCAAATGAGAACGCTTTGAATAAGTTCTCAACTCGAGGCGCTCCTGACACGATGTCGGAGATGCTAGAGTTGACGAGGCGCTTGGTGGGATAGAGCGCAATATAATCCTTCAAAGATGTCCAGGTCTACGTAGGCGAGATGAGGCGCTTCATACTTTACTTCGCAAATTAAGCAATACGTGCGTCAGGAACACTCGTCCACTTGTGGGCGGTGCGGGCGCGGTTGGCGTCTAGGTCGGTATTTGGCGGTTGAGGGCCTTAATAGGGGTAATTTTGCGAAAGGCGCTGGCGCAGCGGCTGCAGGCGCGATTCGCGTTGCTGCTGTGCGCAATGATCCTCATTGTCTTAGGATTTATCGTGCCAACTCGTCCAAATAAAGGTCACCTGAATTTTCCGCAGTCACAACACTAGTTAAGAACTTACAACCAACATGCCAAGATTGGAAGGAGAGAGAAGCCGCGTGGGCGAGAGCCATAAAACTGCACGCTCAACAAGATTACCACTTATACCTGGTATAAGGGGGGGGGCAGAATGGTGCCAGCCGTCGGAACAGGACGCATCACGACGTTGTGGGAAGTTCTTGCCAAATAGTCTTCTTCCCCAACATTTTCTCTATCGCTATGACCCTCATTTCACAACACGTTTGAGCTTTCACCGCTGTTCTCCCAAATTTCCGCCGTCGAGCGGAACGAGAGAGGGGGGGGGAGGCAGTTCGGTGACGGCAGGGGAATTTGGCTTTTTCGCTACTTCCCATCGACATGTCGACCCATCTAGGAGGTGCTCATGAGTTTACAAGAGTTGACAGGTTTCATCATGGTGCCGAGGTCGAGCTTGCGCCTCAAGAGTTCTCATGTTTCACTAGGGTAAGATCTGTAAACGGGAACTAGCAAGGCAGCGAAAATGCAAAATGCCCCTGCCCTTCACTGGACAGCGCCGGCCGGAGGGAGTATCAAAGAATACCATCGCAAGAGAGTCCCATCTAGGGGGGGGGGGGTGGAGAGCGCAGTTGGTGAGAACGAAGAGGATTAGTTTCTGGCCGAGAAGAAATTTGTTCAAATCACGAAAGAGATTTTTTTCCGTTTTACGGGTGCTACGTTGTGGTACGTGTCCCCTCCCCGCACCTCCCACCTCCAGTTGGCCGTGCTGCAAAAACTATTAATTCCGAACTATTCAGGTTTCCTGGATGTTCGGAAAGCGATATTCTTTCAGTCTGAAATCTCCCTGACTCTGCCTCTCCTCAGTAACTTGGCATCTCAGCTACAGGATCTACTTGGCCCTAACATGTTGGTTGTTCAGTCTCTAATCATCGCCAAATTTGAAACCCTTTCCTTCGAAGAGAGTCTGTTCAGAATCATGCTAGCGAGTGATGGTAAAATACTCGCCTCCATCAATTCCACTGAAGATGAGAAACTGACATTGAAACATCTCACAGGCTATGACTTAAATTTCCTCTTGGAGCAGATATCTTCTCTCGAATCGATTGATCATGGCAAAATTTTCCAGGTATGGTATGGGATTTACATGAAATTTATGTAGAGAAACTCTGATTGTAAGTGTGAGGAGGGTGGAAGGAGTGAGCATGATTGGTGGAATATCATCACGAACCAATCGCATCCGCTCAGTTAACACGCTACTCTACCCGACGTCCCCTGAAGATAAGGGGCATCGCTAACAGTTCACATGACTAGTTGGGGGTTTTGGTCGAGTCTGTACGACCCCAGTTTTTTAGGGGGTTGGTACGACCCCCCCCCACACTTCCCATCCTGTTTACCACTTTCTTCGATTAGCCCAATCCTACCGGTTTCTCCGGAATTTCATGAAATTTTCCTTGTTTTTCCCAAAAATTTTGCTGTCGAGCGGGGAGGGGGTATGTTGTACAGTCCTCATCATTGCGGACCGGTGGGGCGTGTCAGTGCGGCTGCGTTTGGCGCGGTGCCAAAGTCGTTCTGCACCAGTTGTTGAAGCGGGCAAGTGACATTACTGTATTATATCCTTCGTATTACTCGTTTTCTACCACTT